ATAGGCGTTTAGAAATCGTTTACTGCATTACTCCCAACTGTTCTGCAAGCTTTTTTTGTGTTTGTGTATGCCGAATTCTCAGCGAGCAGTTGTTCCAAATCATCATTATCGCACTTCGGAGGGCCTTCAGGGCGTTGTTTGTCGATTACACTGAAATTACCGCTTTTAAACCACTTAAACCAAAATGCGCACACATCGTACGATACAACACCTTCGGCGAGAAAGGAACAAATCGATTCGCAAGCTCTTGTAGCATTTTTTCCTTGTTGGAATTCGTAAAGAATGCAGTGTCGGATATGTACCTTATCTGTTGCCATTTTCGACTGTACTGAACTGAATACTTTTGAAAGTTATGTTGGGCCTTTCGCCAAACTATATGTTCTTCTTAATAGCTATATGTCAACATTGCATAATCACAAAAAAGCGGGAAAATCTATTCAATTTAAAATTGATTTTATAACTGCTTAAAATAATTTGGATTATTCATTTGTACACGTAATATCATATTCATATTTTTCTTTGGTAATTCAATTATCAGTTAAACTTTTGTACCATAAAAATCGAAAAATTTATTTTTTAGAAGGAACCCATTATCAATTATCTGTCATTTATTGAAAAATACATTATCTTTCTCACCAAGGTCTTTCTTTTACAATTCGTTGTTGCGCATAGAAGAATATTTTATATGTATAATGCAAAGTCAATGCAAAGTAATAATTATATGTGCTATTGTAACAGAAAAGTTAATTACCGTTATCATTACTAACAAAAAAAAAATAAATAACCCCGCTATCGAGTCCCTACTGAGAAGAAGCAAGTTGTGTGACAGTAATGACGTTGCAAATAACACGTTGCTTTCCAACTCTGTATGTAATTTAATGAAATGTCGTAGCATCATAGTGTGCTAATTATCAGTAACAACCACGTCATTCAACGTGTTATAATAATTATGTCAGTTATGATTATATCGGTTTTATAAGATTTTTACCTATTGCTCGTGTCGAAAATATTCAATGACGCAAAGACGCAATGACAATTAATTAATTTAGCATTTCTATTCATGTTTTTTTGTATTCGATATTCAATGATGCGAAGACGCTACGAGCTGCAAAAGAAGACGACTCGACCTGAAGTAGAACGAGAGCGAAGGAGTGCTCTTCTTCCGTTTGAGTCGACTTCACCCAAGTACTCGCCCTCCAATTTGGAACTCGTATTGCTCCCCATCGGAAACTTAACAATTAAATTCGTACTTAACGCCGCCGCTGCGAAAAGCGCGCTCTGAGGTCGCGTTCGATATCAGATCGAACGTAATTCATCGACGTTTCGTAACGCATCGTGACCATTTAAATTTGCATGAGCTCTTGCATGAGAGTGACGCGAGAAACCAGAGAGCGATGCGTCACCTCTTTGACCAGGGGCGAGGAGGGGGGGGAGTTATATGGATTCTCAGAAAATATTTACATTATAAATGTCCGGGCCAGCTGCCTGTTATCGTTGCACATATCGCCCAACAGCAAATTCTTTATATCAGAAAACTACATTTTCTCTCTGCGGCATGTGCGCGCGCTCTCTTTGAAGCTCTCATGCGCGATTTCAAAGGCAGTGGGCTGCCCGAGGCAACACTTCTGTTCGCCGAGAGGAGATGAGAGAGCGAATGAGCGCGCGCATGAGAGAGAAAGGGAGAGAGAGAGAGAAAGAGAAGAGGACGAAGTTTCTGTGTTGTACACGTGTAAGCAGCCGGAAATCCGGGAGTTTCACGCCACGGAGGAAAGAATGCATAACGCCCTGCCGGTGTGGTCAACTTTTTTCATTACATAAAGCTGATGCATATCTTCCCTCTGAAACTATACTCATGCATCTCTTTCTCTTCCTCCCCCCTCCCCCCTCTCTCTCTCTCTCTCTCAAGCTGCCTTTCTCCAAATTACTGATGTAAAACTTGGCTGCGATTTGCATAAGGTGACGATTTTAGTGTTGCTCAATTTTAGTAAAATCCTCGACACCGTCAATCATTGTTTATTAACAAGTTACAATAATTTAATCTGTCAGAGTCAGTCTTATGTGAGATGGTTTCCCTTTCACCTTAAGCTTTTTCCAGCGGTTGGTTCCAGCGGGTTGGGTCTAACGAATAGCAGTCTCTCTGGCTGTTTGTTTCCGCTAGTGTTCCACAGGGGAGTGTTTGGAGTCCACTGTTATTTTTTTTTTTATTAATGACTGCCCTTTAGTCTTGTAACATTCTAAGTGTATCTTATATGCTGGTGATTTGAGAATTCATCTATAGTGCGACCTCCTTCTGATCTGTAGTGGGATTGATTGCATCTCCAGAGATATCGAGGTGATGAGTAACTAAGCCATTCAGAATAAGTTCAATTTAAATCTAAATAAAACAAAACCAAGCCGTATGGTTAGTAGTCAGTATAATATAAGACGGTTGGACATGAACAGACTCCATGGCTTTTTTTGGAGTAATGCGATGATACCCTTTGAGCATTCAATGAAAACGCTGGGTGTTAGCTTATTCTCCAATCTATCTTGGATCTAACAAGTCAATAACATTTAAAGTTAACATTTAAATAACATTTAGTGCTAAAATTAGTAAATGCCTTTATTAATTTATGCTTCATAGTGATCTTTCTAATATTCAATCACGCAGACGTCTTGTTACTAGCTTATTATTTCTCCAAATTATTGCTCGGCTATATATTGTGATTTTATGAAAGTGTTGAACTCAAAGGTGCAGTACTCTTTTTATTCATGTGTGCCATTTGAGTCAGATAAGATGTTTACATTTTTCCTACCCTACAAGAAAACTGGCTTTCAGTAGAACGCAGAAGGCAATTCATAATATGGGGTGAATTTTCTTTTCACTTTGGCATTCACAAAGCTTCTTCGTATTTATATCTTAAAATAATATTTCTTCTTTCTTTAATTGAAAATAATAATATCACGAATCGTATAATTTAAATATACTACATATTGTAATAAAATCTGTAAAAAATTATTTATTGTTCAAGTTATCTATTTATGAAATCTTCTTTTGATATAATTGCCAATGCTACTTTATTCACCAACTTCGAAAGGACATCCATACACTACTTTTTAAATACAGAGCAGCGTTAGATTACGAGTTAACTACTTTTTGCACTCTATTTCTCCTTTACATATTAACACATAGGCACAATCTATATGTATCTTCCCACGCTTACAAATAACATTTACCAAGTGTCATATGCCGATTGCTTTAATTTTTAGAAATTTGATATAGAAGCCCAAAAGAGGAGATAAAATATGGAAACAAAAGTTTACTCAAAATTGCTCAATATTGTTCAAAATATTTATGCAAAAGGTGCAAGTTGAAAACGTACATATAAAGAAGATATAAGGAAATGATACAATATCTCGCAAACAAAAGATTTTTAGATATGGAATAAAAATTACTTGGTTTCGAATTACGCCACTTTAAGCAGAAACTAATTTTTGAGAGTTTACTTTTAAAAAAATAAATTGGTGTTAGATAGAGAGAGAGAGAGAGAGAGAGAGAGAGAGAGAGAGAGAGAGAGGTAAAATTATGAATCTTATTAAAAGTTATTATTGTAACTTATTATTGTAAGTTAGCGAAAATACATATGCAAATTAGAAATAAACAAAATTATTTATTTATATAAAAGAATACGTAAGATGATGACTTTCGCTTAACCTTGAGAGTCTTTTTCACGATAAGATGACCACAAAAATTGTTCGACAAAATTGCGAGACTTTATAATAGCAACTGATTTATATCATAATTTTGTATGTAAAAGAGTAAACACAGACACAGACACACACACACACATATCTTGAAATTTAAACGGATAATAGAATATCCAATAACCTCCAGTGGTGTGGAAAATCGTCATTGGTATTAGGTATCCTATTATTTGCTTATATTTCAAGATGTGTTTGTGTGTGTCTATATGTTTACTTATTTTTTCATACAAAATTATGAAAATAAATCAGTTATTATTATAAAATCTCGCAACTTTGTCGAAAAATTTTTATAGTAATCTTATCATGACTTTGAAAGAGACTCTCAAGGTCAAACAGAGGTTATCGTCTTATGTCCTTTGAGATCAAGCAATTTTTGTTTCAAAAGTTCTTTCTAAAAACCTCTTTACGAGATATGTTGTATCATACCTCTCTTATACCTTTTCAACTTGCACTCTTTGTATAAATGTTCTGAACAATATTGAGCAAATATTTTTTTATATTTTATCTCCTTTTGAGCTCTTATATCAGATTTTAAAAGATGAAAACAATCAACGTATAATGCTTGGTAAAGATTACTTATTAGTGCAAAATTAAACTTGGAAATATGCTAGTTACTTTAATATTTTTTCTTTCCTGTTTCGTATAATAATATTGATTTAGTCATTAATTTTTTTTACCTCTGCTTCTAACATCAATCTCTAAAACATGTATTCATTATTTATGTAGTTGTGCATTTAAAATTGATTCCTATCTTTTGTTGAAACTTCTCTTTAATATATGCGGTCTGATTGTAACCGACAATCAAACATGTATCGCATTATGAAACTCTAGGTAGCAACTTCAGAGTTAAATACATTCTCTCTCTCTCTCTCTCTCTCTCTCTCTCGCTCTCTCGCTCTCTCGCTCTTTCTATGCCTCTTCATTCGCGAATTACGAAGATATATTTTTGCCAATAAATAACACATTCGATAATCTCGGCATGTTGTGCAAAATTAAAACAAATCGTCAGTTACATCGCATGAAAAAGTTCGGAGCATCTTCAGAGTATTCGAGCTCTTTGTTTCGAAAGTTTGCTAAACAAATCGAATATGATAATAGAGTTAATAACGCTACAGCTGCATAGAATAAGATGATGGTATCATGAATCTTGCAGTTTTCATCTCTCGTACGAATTGCACGCGAGATCGAGAAGGTTGAAAAATTTCACCGGTTTCCACTTTCAACGCTCAAACCACGCATGTGTCTCTCTGTTGCAGGAACATACTTCATCCTGTACGACTTCATCGACTTCTTCGAGAAAGATCACGCCAGTTTCCTGGACCGGGACAAGTTTCTCAATATCATCAATACTATCTTCAAGAACATGTCGCAAATTGAGAGGGAGGCCATCATTTTCCAAGTGAGTCTAACCTACGTTCTCAAGCATCGCTTCGCATGTTGCGACGCTTCACATACCGTGTGAAACTTCTTATTTATTTCTCTTCCTAAATTTTTTATTTATTTTATATTTTATGTTCTTTTTTCCAATTGCTAGGCGCATTCTCTCTATTCTCTTTTCTGTTTGTTCATCTGCGACTTTAGCTAGTCATCTTTATCGAAAGGTCCTCCCGTTGCAATGGAGAAAATCTTTTAAAGTAAATAAAATATAAAAGTGTGCCATTATGTTAGTTTTTAACGGATATGCAGATGTATGTATTATTCAAATGATATTTCGTTTATACGAACGTCTTAATCGATGCACCATGAATATTTCGTAAAAGTGTCGCCAATGGTGGAATCTCTCTCATCAGTTCTCGTCGTTCCTTCTTGTCAATATTCGACAGAATGATGTCGATATGTCGATCTAATAGCGATATATCTACGCGAATAAACGGCGTACGCTCGCGTGCGCTTCCGAATGTTAAATATGTCCGGATTCCGAAAACCGAGATCTCTCTCGCGGGGTCGAGACAACCTCCGAATTCCTCGTTCCTCGTGCAATGAGAAAATATACGCGTCGCATACAGAAGGCACAGAGAGAGAGAGAGAGAGAGAGAGAGAGAGAGAGAGAGAGAGAGAGAAAGAGGAGGGGAGAGAGAGAGGAGGGGGGAGGAAGAGAATGAGTGACGGAAAGAGAGGGGGAGGGTGGTTGGCGCGCATACTGCGACCCATATTTTCTTTTTTTCTTTCTTTCTCCCTCCCTGTCTTCTTCTCACCATCCAGCAAACTACCACTCAACGAGACCTCGACTATATATTCATCGGCCCCGAGCACTCTTCTTGTTAGCTAACTCCAACTTGTAACTGTCGCTAAGTCGCTCCGGGGCTCCTTTTTGTAGAACAAGCGGACCATACATCATGTGTCAATTTGACTCTTCGCGCGCGAGCCGCCGGGATAAGTGGAACTTAACACACGTGACTGGTCGTTGTGTATCCTCGATACTGTCCGTAACGTTATTAATTAATTAAATGCGCGCGAGACATATCGACATTTGATTTATTGCGGGCTTTAACGCTTATTAATATGTCCCTCAAATAAATGGCACAAACGATTCACTACATTTTTTAAAACGCTTCGAAAACTTTTCTCTTGTTTTAATAGTCAATAATCGTGAAATTAATATGATATGAAACCTTCCTTTTTTATTTATCCTTTCTCATGATTTTATCACCTTAATTTTTCTCTCACGCACTGATTTGTTATACCTCGCTGCAGAGCGTGGGCGTGCTATTATGGACATTCGTAGAGAGAAGAAAATTTCAATAATATAACCACGGAAGAAAATGGTTATATATAATTATATAAATTATAAAATTATAAAAATATATAATTATAAACTTATATACGATTACATGCATAAAATACATGTAATTATATAATATGTGACCCATATACTATATTTGAATTTTATCACCATATAATCATATATATAATCATGTGCCCATGCGAAAGAAGATACCGTTGAAAAACAAAAAAAAAAAGAAAATGGATTGATTTAATAAAACATCGATATCATGATCTGTTACAGACATATAACACATATACAGGCATTTACTACCATTGCACTTTTATAACAGCATTTTCTTCGATAGGTATAAAGTGGGTATAAAGTGAACATTCCAATTAGTGGCTGAGTAACCTCATCGTGAAAATTAATCGATGAATTAATAATGAATTAATAACATGTGTTAAGTACACAAAGCTGATTTTGTTGGGAAGCTTGAATATTTGAGGTGTTGTACTGTATAGGTTGCGTGAAAAGTTCGCGGAGCGAAACTGAAATAAAGAATACCAAATTCTAAAAATGGTTTTATTCTTCAATATAGTCTCCATTAACTTCAATACACTTGGCCCAATGGCTCTCCAATAATTTTATTCCATCGCGGAAGTGTATTTCTGGAAGATCTGCGAAATATGCCTCTACGGCTGCTATAGCTTCTTCATTCGACAAAAAATGCTTTCCACGGAGGAATTGTTTCAGGTTTCGGAACAAATAAAAGTCGCTGGGTGCCAAATCTGGCGAATATAGTGGATGATCAAGCAATTTGTACTTCAATTCATTGAATTTAGACATTGACAAAACACTTGTGTGAGCAGGTGCGTTGTCTTGGTGAAAAATGATTTGTTTGTGCTGCAAATCAGGTTTTTTCTCATGAATTTTTGCGTCCAATTGATCCAAAAAGTTACAATAATATTCAGAGTTTATTGTTTTACTTTTGTCCAGATAGTCAATAAACAAAATCCCTTTAGCATCCCAAAAAACTGATGTCAAAACCCTTTTTGCCGATCTTTCATGCTTTGTTTGCTTTGGAGCTGAACATCCAGCTTCAGTCCACTGTAAACGTTCCTGTTTCAATTTAGGATCATGGTGATAGATCCAAGTCTCATCCATGGTTAAAACGATGCACAAAATCGGTTTTATTCTTCTTAAAACGATCCAAATGACGCTGAGAAATTTGCTTTCGAGCGAGTTTTCGTTGAATTGTTAACGTATGCGGCACCACTTTTCCAAACACCTTTTTCATTTGTAATTCTTTATGCAAAATATGCCGTACCCGTTCATCTGAAATGCCTATAGTATGAGCAATTTCATGCGTAGTCGCACTTGGATCTTCAGAAACAATAACATGTATTTGCTCAATGATTTCTGGTGTTGATGCGCTTTTTGGACGTTCACTGCGTGGATCATCTTCCATGCTTGTACGACCACGTTGAAATTCAAGTGCCTATTTACAAACCATTGTTTTTGAAGAAGCAGATTCCCCTAACACATTTACCATCTCGGAATGAATTTCCATTGCTTTTAAATCTTTTTTAACAAGGAACTCAATCACTGCATGCTGTTTCAAATTTTCCATTGCAAACAAATATACTGACACGTCAACTTCAATTAGCTTGTAAACACAGAAAGAATTAACAGATGGAAATGAAACCAAACCTAGGTTCATGTGAAGAGTGATTCTATATAACCGACTACAATTTATAATTCTACCGTTTACTTATAGATGCCGCTCCGCGAACTTTTCACGCAACCTTACAACGTGTAACATCACATATAAAGGCAGTATGACGGGTTGCCTGCCGCTATTCAGACAATAATGCAGAGGTTGCCGAAAAAGTCACTCGTTAACTTTGTTGATAATGATATTTGCAGTGTTTCTCGTGCAGTTGTAACGAGTGCAACTAACTTTGCACCGTGATCGTTATGCACAGTTATCGACCGTTTATGACAAGAGTCGAGCCTTATTAAATTAAAAAAGATGTTTAAAAAAGTGAAACTGAGAAATAGACATTACGGATTTAAGCAGAATAAATAAAAGTATAATAATTAAGTTAATAAAGTTAATACATAATAGTTAAGGAGATAAATAATATACCATATTTTCTTGTTTCACATAATTTCCTAATTTCTTTCTTGCATTAAAAAATTCGATAGGAATTAGAGATTAGAAAAACGGTATAGAAATATTTAGAAGTCTTATATACTATATTTCATCCATGTTTCAATAAAAGATCGCTTCTGATCGTTCTGATAACTATTAAGCCCTAGTTTCGATAAAAGAGGCGTCAAACAAGATTATGATGTACCGAAAATATGTCTCCTGATAGTTGTCGTCGATTAAGTTGTAATCAATATTTAGGCTGCGTTTCTGGTCAATTCATACCTTTACAGAAGCGACCTTTTGTAGAAACATGGATAGAATATAGTATATAAGACTTCTAAATATTTTTATACTGTTCTTCCTAATCTCCAATTCCAACTACAAACTTTTCAACGCAAAAAATTCAGAAATTATGTGAAACAAAACAATATGTTATATTATTTATCTCCTTAACTATTACTTTTATTTACCTTACCTAAATCCGTAATGTTTATTTCTCAGTTTCACTTTTTTAAACATTTTTTTAAATTTAATGAGGCTCGACTCCTATCATAAACGGTCGATGAATCGTCATAATGATAACGGTGCAAAGTTAATTGCACTCGTCATAATTGGGAGCATTCATATATCATTATCAACAAAGTCAACAAGTGACTTTTTTCCCAATGTTTATTATAAATAGTGTAAAAATATCGCGCCAAATATTTTTGAAAAAATAATAGAAAATATCATAAACTTTACTTTGAACTTAATACTTTGTTGATATACTTTTAGAAGCAATCACTGCAGCACAACAGCGAAACATCGATGCATTAAAATTAGAAATATAGCATTATCGTCCGAATAGGGGCAGGCAATCCGTCATACTGACATATATGTTGATGTTACATCCTGTATTTTTTCTAGTCTAGAAAAGACTTTTATTTATTCATAATATTTTCTTAGAAATGACTGAAGTACCATTTAGTAGCACAATAGTTTAGTTTTGAACAAATTACAGAATAACTATATAGACTCACCAAATAAATATCTAATATTAACTATCTTCTATGTTTCGGTGAGTAGTGGTTCGAATTGTCACTGTCAAAATCTGCTTATAATTAGAATATTCTGCTATGACTTTTAATTTTAATTGAAACGTGTTATAACCATGATGTATAAAATTTAAAATAAGATTGCATATTTAAGATAAATATGAACTCTAAACAGCTAATTTATTAAGAAAAATGTATACAATTGTCACAAATTGGGGCATTTATCTTATATAAGTATAAAGTGGTGTGCCAAAGTTTTGAGAAATAATTGTTACTAAATATTCATAATATGCTAATCACTATAAAACTCATATACATAAACAAAATATATTTATTTTTGTGCTATAATTATATAAACTTTGCTAACTTTTAGTAATTGTAATTATTTTTTTTCCTATTGTTTATTATAAACAGTGCAAAAATATCACGTCAAATATTTTTACACGAATAACGCAAAAAATATCTCTGAAAAAATAATGGAAAATATCATAAACTTTTTTTTG